TCACTTATCAATCAATTTAAGCTCCTGGTTCTTGTCAATGTTGGCGACCTTCGTGGACAAAGCAGTACATCTTATCTTGTTTCTTATTTTGATATTTACACGTGTAACAAGTGTTTCTCAAACAAAAAATCCTATCCTGCCTAGAACGTATATATGTGTACCAATATCATAGATCTTAACAAAGTTTAAAATTCTGGTACTGTGACAACCCTACAAAAAAAAGCAAATCTGAAAAAAACATTACATAGAAAAGCAAACTGATAGACAGTCAGACATCCAGAGTGTCTGAGGTATCTAACCTGTGCAGTAGGCAGGCAGAGGGGGCAGGAGGACCTCATCTAATAACCCTGAGCTGTCAGCCCCTTTATAGATGGGCGAGGGCTCCACATTAGTACAGCTCGATATGGATTGACTGTGGTGGGAGACCACACTGCGCGAGACGGAGAAGCAGAGTGGGGGGGAGGAGGAGGTGGGGATGACCGACAGAGTGAGATAAATGAAGACGGACAGAAAAAGGTGACCACCGAGGGAGAGGCAGAGTGAGAAAATGTGTCAGACAGAAAGGGGGAAGACAGCAGGGTGATAGAGAGAGAGAGAGAGAGAGAGAGGGAGAGAGGAGACTGGGATTGAGAGTGACTCTGCAGTATTGTCTCTCAGTATATCGACTGCCTCAAGGAGGGGGTGTTAGAAAATGTAGGTGAATAAAAGATGCCACCGGTTTGATTTAGAGAGGGTCTAACCTTCTTACATTTAGCAGGAACGGCTACTGCATGTCACACTTTTCTTTTTTGTTCCTGCTGAGAGGACCTCACTTCTCTTCTACTCTTTTTTTAAGAAGCTTAACGGCTGTATACGATTTGTTTTTCACCTCACTCAGCAATTGAATACAAAATCTAGACCAGATCAGATGCCACTTGTGTTCAAAGAAGATGTCGTCAAAATTTGTTAATTACACCAGATTTCCATTTCAGCTTTGGAAACTTTCTTTCGAGTTGCCAGTACTTGTCAATAAAATGTAGACATCTTTGCTGTTCTCATGAGATTTCAAGTTGCTGCTCTGAATAAGAACAGAAAGAAAACATGGGTTGGGTTAATCATTCAGTGTCATACTGACCTAAAGTAGACAGATCCTGATGAAGCTCATAATGCAGCTACTATGCGTACAATTCAAAAGTTACCTCAGCAATAAGAGGCGGGAAAAAGGATGGAGTGAAAACAGAGCTGAAAGAGAGAAACTGTTGAGGGGTAAAGAGTGTGATGGGAGCAAAACGTTCTTTCTCCAGTGTTGGTTATTTAGCCTTGGTCTGTGTCTGCCTGAGGAGCTCAACACTTTATTCATTCCACACATCACCTGAGACAACGATACATACAAGAACTGACTCACCATTCAAATCACTGTGGATTCAAATGCACAGACGGACAGGCCGAGCTGACTGAAGTAGAAGGCCAGATGTCTGATTGTGTGAGTGTGTGTGTGTGTGTGTGTGTGTGTGTGTGTGTGTGTGTGTGTGTGTGTGTGTGTGTGTGTGTGTGTGTGTGTACCTGACATAACCCCACGCGGTAAACAAAACCTTACGTTCACCTTGCAGCAATCGACCACAGGTGTCCTACATCTGATTGCCGGCACGTTTGTTTACTACTCCTCAATGGCTTCACTCCCCTCCTCCACCCCGCAGGGTCAGAGCAGAGACTGACCAGAACTAACCCTCCCACACACACACACACACACACACACACACACAAACAGATAATGAATTATGTAATACCTGTGCTCTGAGAACAGACAGAAGGCTCTGCTCTGGAGTAATTCCTCTACATCTAGAGTTGTTCACCACACCAATAGAAACAGCAGGATGCACACAACCTCACAGACGTAGATGTGTGTGTTTGAAGATATGAATTGCGTTTCATCACAATATTGGCTACATACATGGCAAACACACTGCATGCCTTCCTGAGCCCATGTTTTTATATATAGTGAAAATGCAAACACTGATTTAAGACAATGTCGTCATCACATAGTTTGTGCAGCACAGCAGACCACTGTTGTCAGGACAACATCAACAGAGATAAGATCAGTTGGTCCACACAAAAAGTTCCTCATCAATAAGTTTACAGTAGATATGTAACGTAGCCCCTCAGCTGAGGATCTTTATTGCCTATATTTGAGACTTAGTCTACCTGGCCTATTCACGCATAGTTAGGGAACAGTAAGTTTCTTATAATAATTCTTAAAATATCTGTCAGTCAATATTTGAGAGAGACTTTAATCAGCCTTTTTTCACAGCAGGCATTTAGACTCATCATGATAGGTCTTAAAGGAGGTAATGTGCCACTTTTTGATCCAGTAGATGTCGCCTTTGAGCCCCAGCATGAAATAAAAACATACTGCTGTTTGGCGACACCTCCGCCATACTGAATCCTCCGCTCCCCTCCGGCAACACACGTCCAACCCCCCTCCACTTAGCAGGCTAATGTTAGCACACTTTGGTTAGATTGTAGTTTCAAATCGCATATACATTGACACAGAATGACCATGACTTCTGTTGTCCTTTAATAAAAACAGCTTTTATACGCGAGAGGAGGAGCCGGCCGGCCATTTATGTAAACCTGATGTAAACACGGCTCGAGTCGGCCAGCAGCACTCGTGCTTCTTATTAGAACCCGACCGACTAATCGGCCAGCAGATAGTATCGGCCGATATTAGCATATCCAGTGACTATCGGTATCGACTAATTTTATCCCAGATTTGCAGCAATTTTAGTAGATTTATTCCTCCAGTCAAATAGCATTTAATTTGAATATCATTGTATTAAACTAGCAGTTCTCTTTCACCAGCAGATTGTCCTACGTGGATTAAACAAAGCTTTATCACTCCACAGGGTCAAGCAGTGATGCACGATGACGCTCAGTCACTCTTCAGTCTAGTGATCATCTTGACTTAATTTAACATCTTGTGTTTTGATAACTGCATTTGATTGATAAACGCAATCATTGTATGTATCTTTATCTTTCTATTTCTACAGATCCCCCCCCCACAACCCCCTTGCTCCCTATCCCTCTTCTTGCATTTTATCCCATCTCTCCCCCTATCCCTTTCCAAGCCTGGTGCAGTCTAGGCCTGCAATAAGTAAGGTCTTTTACCTGCTTTTTGTAAAGTGAGGGACATTTACAGAGAATATACTTGATTTTTGATATATGAAAATGTAAAATGCTGCTCATTCTTCCTGAAAAAGAAAAACAAAACAATAGAGACGGTTGATCTCAATGACATTGAACATGTGGCTTAGTACAGGGTAGTTATTTTTCTCCATGACTTATTCACTGTTATCCATTGTGTGAAATAATTCTGCTGTTGCTCTGGTAGATTTAATTAAAAATCGTTCTTGTAACTATCCTCCTCATAAGTAGAAAGTTCTAGTTAGACGTGATTAATATTAATGGTTTTCTGTGGATTTAGTCTCTAAACGGCTTCTTTAAAACACTTTTAGACTTGAAATGAACAGAATTATTTTCTGTCTGAATCCAAACAGCAAGTCACAAGTCTGTAACGGTTCATTAAAGCAGTGCCGCTGAATATTTGGTCTGAGCAGCAGTTCAGCTTTAAAGAAAGGAACTGACTGCATACAACTTCAGTTACAGCAATCCTAATTAGAGAGAGCGATTACATTATAATGAGCTACTGTTAAGCTCAAGTATATGATGATCACACAGTGGACCAGGCAGCGCTTATTCATTCCACTGAGGACTTTTTTTTTTTTACTCTGAGCTGCTGTGAACTTTTCACCTCATAGTGTGCAACCCCTCTGATGTCATCACTTACAAGAGCCAGTAGATGCGTACATAAACGCTGCATATACAACCATAAAAACATGAGTTAGCTCATTAAAGAGATGTTTATTTGTTGCTGCAGGCTTTACAGATGTTTGACAACATAGCTGGAAATGTGCAAGCTGTGCCTGCAATGCATTGTGGATATGCATATGAGACTGATTTCTCCTTTTAGTATTACAGTAAGTTTCAAATTATTTTCCTCAAATCTTTTGAAACCACCTCGAGGGATTTATCCTGAAATATAATACATATTTTGATAATTTAATTTTATCAAAGGAAGAATGTGCAAACTTTTGTTCCAGTAGATGTCGCCCTTGAGCACAAGCATGAAAAAATAACAAAATAGCTTTTATACACAAGGCTGTCCCGTCCATGTAAACACAATGTAAATACAGCTGAGACAACATCACAGACAGCGGGGCTCGTGCGTCACACTCATTGAGGACAGTCTGGATTTCGGCTTTATTTATGTGTAAAATGTTGCACATTCTGCCTTGTACGCAAAGAATAATGTACAATTAGGGGCGTGGCCAAGATGACTGACAGGTGGGTGTGATGTGTGTTGCTTAACGCCTGCCACAGTTCCACCTCTACTCATGTTTATAGTTTCTAGTTCAAAGGAAAGATAGTTTAAGACAGAACTTCAAGCCCTCATTGGGCTTCAAAAACAAAAAGGTAACGTCGCTGATACTACGTCCATGTTTTATACTGCCTATGGTGTCCACAGTAAACTTCTGACAGCACCTCCCTCTTCTGAAATAGATTCCAAGATGACTCCTCTTTGTCTCCAGGCACCTTGACAGAGTGTTAGAGAGTTTCCATGTTTCTTAGGACGACTTTCAATGTGAGAAGCCCTTTGTGTTTTTTAAATGAGATTGTGATGTGCTGACAAGGAGGTAAATGGATAATATGTTTTTTTTTCGGATAACATTATAGTTGGTTGCTATTGTAAAGTATTTTTTTTTACTATTATCCCAAGTAGTTAAGATGACTTAAAGGCAGAGTCAACATTAATTGGACTAGCCAAGGGATTGCTTACCTTGTTTCCTCATTTCCTCGTTTGAGGCTCTTCTAGAACATGAGAAACTCAAAAGTTAAACACTTAACAGACGTTAAAAGAGTTTTCTTCAACATACGCCCCTTAGCTGTGCATTATGAGTGTTTACCTTTGAAGGCATTTGTAGCTGGTAAGTCAGTTTCCTGCATACTGCTCCTTCCCGCGCTCTGCCAGCTGCTGCCGATGCTGCGATGGATGCCGATAGTCCAACCTTAACCAGTTCTAGCCGTGGCCGCTGGGGGGAGGGAGGGTGGCCGAGAGGAAGGGGCGGCGCCTGACAGTCTCGCTGCCATCATTCTTCATCAAAAGTCCATGAGTGGGAACAGGAGGCTGCTGTCTCTCCAACTCTGAAGCAGGCGACTGTGGCACACTTTTGTTCAACTGATTCACAGACAGTGTTCCTGCTGCAGAACAAAACCCGACTCTGGGAAAACAGAGATGGTGGAGGGAAAAGGAGCACAAAAGGAGAAGATGGAGGGCTCGAGACACTGACTCTGGGTCAGGTTAGGAGAGAGGATGAAGGTTCAGGAAGTTGTAGTGTAGGAGTGGTTGGGTTGAACTCTACCCTCCTAGCAGCAGGCGCACAGCCATGGCCAACACCTTGAACTTTTGACTGTCTCTGCCTCTTTTCTGCCTCTGAGCGAAGAATCTATATATTTCAGTCTGTCTCCTCCACGGTCAGTTTGTCTCTTCAAAACAGCTCTAATCAACATGCTGTCTCCTCTGCTTCTCAGAGCTCTTTTTTAGCGGCTTTGCTCCTGTGTTCTTCTTGCTTTTTCTGTCCCTCTCTTCGTCGCCTTATGTCTTCTGTCTGGTTGCTGCAGTCCCCCAGCTCAGCACGAGGTACTGAGGTGCTCTCACACTGGAGCGGTGGCTAGACAATAGAGAAAAAAAAAACACAGACAGAGGGAGAAAGTCAATGAATAAAATCATGAGATACCTAAAACATCAGGTGAAAAAGATACTCCCAAGGGCAGACTGCAATGACCAGTTGAGAGAAGTGCATCGAAACAATACAGGTCGTCATCCACTTCCATCCACTCACACACACACACACACACACACACACACACACACAGACTAAAGGACGAGCTGCAGTGCATGTCTCGGTTTCGATAGCAGGTGGGTGGCTGGCATGGCCCCCTTTAGTTCCTCTCACCCACTTGGTTCTTACATGAAAGGGAAAGTTTTTCTGAAAGCCAAGCGCCGTCTGTGACCCTGTTTCACAGAGCAGAGGAGAGATAGAGCCACATGTCACTGTGCCACTTTGAAGTCTGCCTGATAAACAGGCTGGAGGAGGCTTGGTGAGGAAAACAACTAAACTTTATTTACATTTCAAAAGTGCCAAGTACCACTTTTTGTGTGTGTGAGAGAAAGAAATAAAAGTGAAAAGTAGGAGAACGTTGGGAGGGGGGAGAGGGGGATCAGAGGAAGAATGGTTTTGGTAAAAAAGGAACAACTGCTGCTCTTGTTGTCATTGAGAACATGCAAGTTGAAATAAGGGTGCAGAGGGAAAGGAAACATGAAGAATGACGAGGTGAAATGGAAACGAAGGCAGGAGAAAAATGAATAAACAAAGGAAACAACCTGTAGTAAGTGAGAAAGGCAACAGAAAGAGAGAGGAAAATGTAAAACAGTGGGGAGGCAGGAATAAAAAATGTTAAATAAAAGGGAAAAAGTCAGGACTGGGGAACAAGGAAGGAAGAAATGTGTTGCAGAGAGAAGCAGACAGACAGTAAACAAACACACGCCCTGTCTGAGGTCTGAAAAGGCTCGACAGATCTCAGTTTGCTCGTCCTATCTCAGCTCTGTTTTCTGTTCTTATCAAATCTCACTGCAGATAGGATACACACAACAGCCTGTGCAACGACAAAACAAAAAATTATAAGGCAAAGGCAGGGCTGATGTGACACAGGGAAAGATATACTTAGGCACATTAACAGTGACTCAACATTTCTGTTTTTAAATGCAGGGTGTTGTCACCGGCCTGGAATATTCTGAGGAATTAGACTGACAATTTCAAATCATCAGTTAGGAAGAATTACGTCACTTTGGCTTTAAGAGGTGAACGAATCAAAAGGCTGAGAGGACAGGCACAGAAAGAAAATGAATGTAAGGAAGAATACGAAAGGCGAGGGCAAGAGACAGGAAAAGGGGAAATGAAGGGTAAGGGAGGAAATGAAGGGGTAGGTAAAAAAAAATGTAAAAAAAGTCAAAAGAAAAAAGCAAAGGAGAGGGAAGGATAAGACAGGACAGTAAGAGAAAATAGAGAGGAACAAGAGTAGAGCGATAGAAAAGGAGAAGACAAGGAGGGAAAAGGAAGGGATGGAAATGAGATGAAATGGCAGGAAAGAAAAGAAAGAAAGAGGGTTAGGATAGTAAAATAGAAGCAAGGAGAGGAGAGGAGAGGAGAGGAGAGGAGAGGAGAGGAGGGGAGAGGAGAGGAGAGGAGAGGAGAGGAGAGGAGAGGAGAGAAGAGGAGGGGAGGCTGTCACACTGGACTAATTGATTATAGTGTTAGAGCAGCATTATCACACAGTAATCCTTTGTTTGATATTGAGAGGAGCGGCAGTGTATCTGTGCAGAGATATGTTTTCTGTGTGTGTGTGTGTGTGTGTGTGTGTGTGTGTGTGTGTATGGATTAGCCTGTTAATCTTCATTTATCCATGTTGAGGTCAGTGGAGTTCAGTTTGAGGAGGTGAAAGATGATGCAATAATTCCTTTTATCTTCATCATCTTATTTTGTCAAACATGTGATCTGACTATACTAACAGAGTTTTGCTGCTATAGGCCATGAGTGGGAAATTACTTTGGAATTTGTATTGAAATAAAATTAAATAAATGTATATGTATCACCACTATCATGTCAAGGATCCGCTCTCAAACCCAGTCACAGGTGTTAACAATCCATGAAATGAACAAAACTTCTTGACGCTCTGTCCTGGACTTGTTTTCTTTCCTTGTCAGTTCTGTTCGATCTGATATTTGATGTCTATATTTCAAACCTCTATATCTTCTTTCAATCATAAGAAATGGTAAGAACGCTTTAAAGAAGAAGAAGGATAAATTATCAGTAAAGGGAGAAATTTAAAAATATCAGCCACACATTACGATATCCTCAATATCTTCCTGAAAGTTATGAATGAAGTAAAACATTTAGCAATTTGCTGTATCCATTCTACTGGATGAACAAACAAACCGTCTGCATACTATTACAGGCTGCTGTTCCAACAACGCCCTAATTTAGAAACCACCAGCAAAATATTTGTTTATAGATGTTAGTTTGAAAAAACAACACCAATTTGATGAACTATTAAAGTACATTTAGCAAAAGTTAATGATTGATTTTTGAAAGTTAACAGGAAAAAAGGTCAAAAGTCACAGAACCTATTTCCTCTTTTTTTTTTTTAATCCAATAGTAGAGATTTCCCCTCACTTATTCTAAGATCAACCAAAGAGCAGCAGTACAGCTAGAAACAGAAATTAAATGGTTTTTTTCCCCCACATGTGCATATTCACATAGCTGATAAGGACATTATTGTATGGGGTTTATTAAATTGCAATCACACTGTGCCTCTCTATACTGGGGGATAAATTAAAACTTCCTGCGCTCTATTGATGAGTCCCAGAGTGAAGAGTAAAATCTGAATTCATTATATTCTAAATGTTATATTATTTATATTATCTTATATTCCCTATAAAGATACTGCACTGCACAAACCCTCGGTGGCTTATCAGTTGAACAGTACAATTATTCCTATTTCTTCCAACCTGCTGCAAAAGCTCTCTGTGGAAACTCTCTGTAAAGTCAGTCCAGCCTGACCCCACTGTCTGTCTGCAGGGTCATCTGAGGACAAAAAGTACGACTAAGGCCACGTTTAAATGAGAACGATCCTCTGAAAACGCGGTTGTTTTTTTTTGTTTTTCGTCCAGATAACAACCACTGTGCACGCGGCTCGCCAGAAAAAACTAAAGACGCTGTAGTATACATGCCAGGCCAGAAGTTGACTTTGTAATGAAACAACAAGCTTACTCTTCCTTTAACGGGGCGGTGAGGTCTAATCATAGACGTAAAAAAAAAAAAAAATGCGGAAGTAGCGGATGAAGCAACAGAGTCCTCTATAGGACTCTTCATTAGCCGTGCACGGAGATGGTTGTGGTCCCATGCAGACACTCTTTGCACCGTGCAGCAAACACAGTATACAAACGTCACTCCCCCTCCCATTGGCTCGAGGTGAATTCTCCGGAGGATATGCTGCTGCGTTCTCACATCAGCTCACTATGACTGGCTGCTGAAAAAGTACGAGGGGGGGTCTGGCAGGAGAAACTCTGGGTGAAGTCCAAGTGAAGCTTTGGGCTGTTTGCGTTCACACATACAGCTCCTCTGGGAAATATCCTGAGTTTTTCAGGAGATTTCTGCAAGTGTGAAAGCCCTACCAGTGACTCTAAACTACAAAGGGGGTCCATTTTAAATGAATGTCGACTGAGAATGAGCAGCACAAATTGTTGTAGTCGTCCATCTACTCGTACATAGCTATAGACGAAGTGTTATGTGCATGTGGGTAACGCCATCGTTTCAAGAAGGATTACATTTCACCAGTCTCTATCACTAACTAAAAGATTGCTGTTTTTGGAGGAATTGGTTGTCATGTAAACAGCGCATAATCTACCAGTATGACTGTCCGCCTGTGTGTCCGTTGGTTCAAACGAGGATAGATAATCATCATGACAGGCTTTGGAACATGTTGTTTGCTGTTTGAGACTGGATTTGACAGTCCAGGTGGATGTTTGTCTGTGCTCTGTGGTCATTTCAGGGCAGCTCCCAGCCGCTCCAGTCTTATCTGTGGATCAATCTGGTGTAGTAGAAGTAGAAAGGCTGAACATCTCAGGCAACACAAAGATCTGTGAAACACCACAGCAGCAGAGTAACATTGAGAATTAAAACAGAAAAGGGAACATGAAGCATTTACTGTTCGTTCAGCTTTTGTTAAAGTGATTTGTAAAAAAAAAAGGCAACAGCAGCAACTGGCATATAAAGCTCACTGTAAATGAGCACAAAGCTTAGTACAAGAGCGGATATAGTCTCTTTGGCTGTTCTACTTTACTGATCACCAGTACTGCTGCAGAGCCAAACGTTCTCAGCAAGCCTATAAATTAAATTAAACCACGTTCTGGGGTTTAAACTAAAATTCTAATTTCAAAAACTTTATTTCCCGTGGAGTAAGTGTCCGGACACTGGCAGACATAATGGTGATGAACGCTGGTTGCAGGGCCCCAAGAGATTCTAGAATCACCACCACGTGCGCGTCCTGGGGGGGGTGGGGTTCAGTTTTTCGTAGATACAATTAGGGGGGTCTGCAAGGTGAAAAGGTTGGGAACCATTGGGAACCACGAGTCAAAAGCCCTTTCAGAATGTTGTTTGAAGGTGCGATATGGTAAATGGACTTGAGCTTATATATTTTACACCACATGTCACACCTCCACACTCACACACTGATGGAAGTGGTTGCTATGTAGTGTGACCATCAGAGGTAAGCAACGGAGCAATTCAGGGTTGAGTGTCCAAGGACACATCGGACATGTTGCTGCAGGAGCTGGGGATCGAACCCTCGACCTTCCGGTTGAGAGACGACAACTCTTACGTCCCTGTGACTTTTCGCCTTCAATCAGAATGTTGCAGAGACGTAAAGTGATCTCCCCTCTGTACCACCTTCAGAGGTGTTATAGAGAGAAGACAATATCAGGGGAGCCAGCGGGGGGGGCGCTTTGTGTGCGTGCATGTCTGACTGTGTGTCTATGTGGAGTTCCCTCCGTGATGTACTTCTGCAACGCTGAAACACGACCGGAATTCAGAGACTGGGACACCAATATTAC